AGTCTCGGATGGAAGTACTTTGGCAGAGTTGTCTCAACTTCCTTCTTATGACGAACTCTGTGTTCTCGAGTAGGAACTAAGTTCTCAACTCTCGCTTTAAGTCCTCCCATATGTCCACTCGACACCGACCTTGTTGGATCTCCTTTCAATGGGTTCGCCACTAAAGTTTTACCTCCCCGTTCAGATACATGGTTGTTATTGAAAATTTGGTATCTTCAAAATCTGGCCTTGTAGCTCGAAAGTACTATTTCATATCAAACAAGAAATTCTTGAGCTCTTTTGCATCCCTAGCACCTCCATAGCAATGAGGCTCAAGTACCCTCAAGTTTTATGGTGGCGCAACGCAGGTGTTGCTCCCTCCCGCATTTAGTGCCCTTGTGAGCATTGTCACTCTGGAAGTGAGTTCTGCCACGACTTTGTGTAAATGTTGCACAGAGTCTTTGGTATCATCCGTCAGTCGATCGACTAGGGCCTCAACCTTGTCGATTTGGGATTCAACTTCTTCTTGCGAGCTCTCTACCCCAAGAAGCATTCATTGGCCTTGGTAGAGTTCCTCCAAGCTCGCTTCAAGAACATCCAAGCGAGTTTCCGCCATTGTAAGTCTCTCCTTATGACTCTTCTTCCCGGTTGGCGCTTCAGATTGTACCTCATCCGCTCGCGGAGAGTAGCCAACTTCTCGCTCATCATATTCGCTATCACGGTCCTCCAACGTGGCTCTACCAACATAAGAGCGAGTTAGCACTTGCAGCCCACCTGCGGCTGCTTGGGGCAATGGTCAGGCTTGCCCCACCTTGCTCGATTCACCACGATGCTTGGCCATGGCGAGATTGCGAAGTTTCTTTGCTGCTTGCTCGAATTGCTTGCCTGCTCTGATACCACAATGTCATGGACTTAGCTGGAATTGCCTAAGTCATGAGGCACCCTTACGGTAAAGTCACAAACTTAGCTGAAGTTGCCTAAGTCATGAAGCATTCTTGCTCCAACTCCTCGGACTTAGTTGGGGTTGCCTAAGTCTGAAGTATTTGTATGGACTTCGAAGGGCTCCTCATAGTCCGACAATTTGAGCACCTATTCGTCCAACACAACAGCCTTCAGATCTTGAAATGCAGCTTCACATTTATCAGACCACCTACAAGGTTGCTCCTTCTTCAACAACTCCATCAGTGGAGTTACATGCTTCAAATACCTCGCTATAAAGCGCCGATAGTAGTTGACGAAACCAAGAAAGGATCTCAGTTCTGGCATCTTTTTTTTGTTTGCCATTGCGCAACAACTTGCACCTTTGATTTGTCCATCCAAATGGAGCCATCACCGATTTGATGCACCAAGAATAATATCTTCGTTTGAGCAAAGTAGCACTTCTCTCTTTTCACGAACAAAGTGTTCTCCCAGAAAACCTTGAAAATTATCCGAATATGCTCGACATGCTCCTCGAGCGTTTGGCTATAGAAGACGATATCGTCCAAGTAGACGACCACAAACTTATCCAAATACTCTTTAAATAGTTGATTCATAAGAGTGCAGAACGTGGTCGGAGTGTTGGTTAAGCCGAAAGGCATTACCAAGAACTCAAACGCTCCATACTTGGTCACGTAGGTAGTCTTCGCTTCATCGCCTTCAGCAATGCGCACCTGCCAGTACCTTGACTGGAGGTCAAGTTTGGAGAAATACTTAGCCTTGCCCAATTGGTCGAACAAGTCCGCGATGAGTAGGATCGGATACTTGTTCTTCACCGTCACTTTGTTGAGGACTCGATAATCGATGCATAGTCGGAGGCTCCCATCTTGTTTCTTTTGGAAGAGAATTGGAGCTCCGAATGGTGCTTTGGAGCTATGGATGAGACCACCGCTTAGCAGTCCATCTAACTGCTTTCTGAGCTCTGTTAGCTCTAGAGGGGACATGCGATAGGGTGGTCTCACTGGAGGCTTCACTCCTGGCTCCAACTCGATATGATGATCCACGCCTCTGCATGGTGGTAGAGTCTTTGGCAACTCGGATGGCATAACATCTGTGAACTTCTTCAGAACATTCGCCACCACAGCAGGTTTATGAGTGACCTCTTCGTCGAGTGGCTCTAGCTTCACAATAGCCACGAATGTTAATTCGTCATTTCATACCCCTTTCTTCAGTTGTAATGTCGATATCTGTTGGGGGTCCCTGGTTCGTCTCCGAGAGACGGGAACCACACAAGGGTCGTCACCTCCCATCATACATAGGGAGTTTAGGAACGACATTGACACCAACTTCGCTGCGTGCATAAACTCAATTCCAAGAATCACTTGGAAGTCGTCCAATGGCACCTCCATCATGCTCATGTTCACGCTCCATGTTCCAATCTTGATAGGGACTCCCTTTGCTAGCCCAAAGATCCACTTGGCCTCCAAGTTCACCGCCTTCATCTGACTTAGGTTCTTCTCTAAGATCAGCCCAAGTAGCTTTGCTTCTCGATCAGCAATAAAGTTGTGGGTAGCACCCGTGTCCACCATTGCATGGGTTGTTTGGCTATTAAGGTTAATGTCCACGTACATCAGCTCACTACTCCCTACTTTCAATGGCTTTGTCTTTATGTTCTCCCCTACTTGACCCCGCAATGCACTCAACAAACGCATTGCTTCCATTCGGGGATCTTGCGACTCCTCATCATCGCTATTGGATTTTGAACTGCTTGAACTGAGGGTGACGACCTTGCCCTTGTTTGATTTGGAGGGTGGATTGAAGCTGTTAAACCATTGAGTGTTTGTTTTTGTGGGCACTCCCTCACCATGTACGGCCCTCCGCACAAGAAGCATCTGCTAGGTTTTGGGGCTTTGCCTTTTGAGCTTGGCCCTTTGTGGGAACTCTTCTTCCTTTGTTGGCCCTCGGGCTCCTTCCATCGAGAATATTTTGGAGGGCGATTTCCTGAAGATTATTTCCTTTTCCCCGAGTCCTCCGAGGAAACAAAGTCGGTAAGCCTTTCTGCGACCGCGATTGCCCCGATCACATCAATGACATTCCTTCGATGTAATTCTTATTAAGTCCATGGTTTTAGGCTATCGAGGAAGCTAAATAGCTTATCCTTCTTGGACATATCCTATGTGTCCAGCATTATGGCAGAAAATTGCTTCACGTAGTCTCGGATAGAAGTACTATGGCGGAGTTGTCTCAACTTCCGCCTTGCGACAAACTCTATGTTCTCAAGCAGGAACTGAGTTCTCAACTCCCGCTTTAAGTCCTCCCATGTGTCCACTTAACACCGACCTTGTTGGATCTCCTCCCAACGGGTTCACCACTAAAGTTTTGCATCCTCGTTCAGATACATGGTTCATATTAAAACTTTGGTACCTTCAGAATCAGGCCTTATAGCTCAAAAGTATTGTTCCATATCAAACAAGAAATTCTTGAGCTCTTTTATGTCCCTAGCATCTTTATATCAATGAGGCTCAAATGCCCTCAAGTTTTGTGGCGGCGGAACGTGGGTGTTGCTCCCTCCCGCATTTAGTGCCCTTGTAAGCGCTATCACTCTGGAAGTGAGTTCTGCCACGACTTCGTGCAAATGTTGCACAGACTCTTTGGTATCATCTGTCAATCGATCCACTAGGGCCTCAACCTTGTCAATTCGGGATTCAACTTCTCCATACGAGCTCTCTACCCCAAGAAGCCTTCGTTGGCCTTGGTAGAGTTCCTCTAAGCTTGCTTCAAGAACATTCAAGCGGGTTTCCGTCGTTGTGAGTCTCTCCTTATGGCTCTTCTTCCCGGTTGGCACTTCAGATTGCACCTCCTCCGCTCGCGAAGAGTAGCCAACTTCTCACTCATCATATTCGCTATCACGGTCCTCCAACATGACTCTACCAACATAAGAGCGAGTTTGCACTTGCAGCCCACCTACGGTTGCTTGGGGCAATGGTCCGACTTGCCCCACCTTGCTCGATTCACCACGATGCTTGGCCATGGCGAGATTGCGAAGTTTCTTTGCTGCTTGCTCAAATTGCTTGTCTGCTCTTATACCACAATGTCACGGACTTAGCTGGAATTGCCTAAGTCGTGAGGCACCCTTGCTGCAAAGTCATAAACTTAGCTGAAGTTGCCTAAGTCATGAAGCACTCTTGCGCCAACTCATCGGACTTAGTTGGGATTGCCTAAGTCATGAGGCGCCCTTGCGACATATGCATCTGCAAAGGTTTAGCCTAGTTGCAACCTCGTACTGGTCCCGAAGGACTTATAAAATAGAAAGTTGATTAGATTAAAAACGAGCGATGGACAAGTCCTGATGTCTCGCGGAGAGGAAAGCTTTACAATCAATTCAACAAGCGCCTTGAGTGCAAGAGAGAAGAAAGATGAAAGAGAAAACAATGACTTTAGAAGATAGAATGAAAAATTGTAAGTCCACAAACAACTATTCACTAGGTGCCGAGCGCGAAGGCAAATTCCTGTCAAGTTAACGTGCAAACTTGTGAAGATTTTTCAACGCCCGACAATATACCGAAGCCTCATCCAGCCCTGTGCCACCCGGGGGGGGTTCCAGGGTGTTAAGATGGCTGACGTTTCACGTGCAGTTATGGCTTGTAGAAAACAAGCAGTGACACGTGAAAATAGAGCTATTTTGGACAATTCGGCCCGACGTGGCGAGCGATCGCACTATAGCGTTGCAACCTATTTGAACATGCATTTTTACGAGCAAAAATACATAAAACTAAGGCAAAATATGCTACCATGTCTCGGTACAAGCATGCAAAAGCGACGAACGATTCGTTGAACGAAGTTATTGCGGGTGTGCAACGACCGTTCGTGACAATGTGCTAGGAAAATTTGAATTCAGCGTCTCAGGTTCATTAAGCGTCCATCCTATACTACACATTTTAGAAAGCAAAATATAAAAACAAGGATTTGGAGAGGTAGTAGCAGGCGGTGTTGCTATCAAACTCTGGGATTGCATGGTTATAATTGATTCAGACTAATTTAGGACGATGAGCAAGCATCTCAACTAAAAGGAAAAAGAGAGATTAAGAGCATTTGGGCATAACCTTGTTCCGGGGAAAAAGACATGACTCGATGTTTGGGTTTCCTCCGAGCAGTACACGTCGATGCAATTCAAACCTACAATTGAAAACATCTCCGGCTTGATATGGTACTTGAAACCACGAAAGGGAAGAACAAAACAAAAAAAAAGGTGACATGACAAGAATAAAAGATGTCGTTAGTCCATTTTAACACCATTCATTGCATCAGGAAAATGGACTAAATGCTTCTAAAAGTTCAGGTTTAAGGACACGCACAGGTTATGCAACAATGCTCTCCGCTCAAGTTGTTCTCTCCATGAAATGAAATGGTTCTCAAGGTGACTGCAATTTTGAATACTACCCAATTAACTCGTCTGTGAAAATCGTCGAAAACTCTCTCGATTTCCTCTAGAGCTAATCCTGAAACCATCGAGGGAATAGATCAAGTGGCAGGGATAGAACAATATAGATGCGACAATGACACTTGCACACTATTAACTGGTACGAATTTAGAGAAACAGAAGGCATCAGAGTGAAGAAAGTTAAAAGAGTATTACATGAGGAGTCTCCTTTTCATCTTCTGCATCTGAATCATACTTTGAATCGCCATCTTCTGCATCATCCTCATCTTCTTCCTGTTATCATCATACAATGCAAAAAGTGAACATCAAATGAGGGAACAAAAGATCTAAGAACTACAGAAAGATCAGCGAGTAACTTGCATCTATATCCCAGTCATCGTTGTTGGCTTCCTGTCATAAGAGGAATAAGGCGTTGTTTAGAAAGTATTTAATACTATACACCCAGCACATTCAGTACTTGAACTCAATAATAAGAAAGTTAGCGAAGCAGATAAATCTCAGTTGAATAACAAATTCCCACTAAAACAGCAAATAAACGGCAAGGTAAATTACACATTTCCATATTCCCCATAGATCAAACAATAAAGACCACCACATCAAACATGCAAATTTATTGTGGGGCAACCAAGAAAAGCAAATAAGACATCCAACAAGCAAAATTCTGACACTTGTATTGCATTTAGGTTGTCAGTTTATTGGTGACTGAAACCAGATTAGAATGTATGCGAAGAACTAACCAGTCAAAATTGGTTATAACAAAATTGAAATAGGTGTATGATTCTGCATTTAGTGCAGGCCACTGTTTCAACAACTTGTGCAAACTGTAATGCAGCTTGTGTAAGGTCAAGTAGATGTCAAGTCAGCTCCTAAAACATTCAAACCTCATAAGAGATAAAGAGGGAGTTCAAAATCAAAATTTTAAAACAAAAATTAACACCATCGAAGTTTATCATCACATTAAATAATTAAGAATTTTGAACCTCATTTGTTCTCCATTATGATGAACACAAATAAAATTGTCTAAAAGTTCATTTGCTCATCCATTAAACGAACAAAATATAACAGTCTAAATTAAACCATATAAGGAACAGATTCACATCTGAGTCACTGTATTTTCTGGTCCAGCTCATGTAAACTTCAAAAGATAATGGAATGATTGTTGCAAGGAAAATAAGATGATAAATTAGGCACATGTAATAGAACGAGATATTGGACAAAAAAGCTTCTTAGGAAAAGAAATTGCCAACATACCTCTTCTTCCTTATTATTCTCAGCCTCATCAAATGCTGCCTTTTCAGCCTGCAAGAGGCAAACCAAAAGTCATTGTAGCAGTTTAGACTCCAATAAGATTTTAACAACAGTAAAAAAAATTTCACTTGCATCCTTATGCTTGCCCCATGTTTCTTTGGCAAATTTCTTTGCACACTCAGGGTCATCACAGACCAAAATGTTGTCAAACAAAGACCCAGATTTAACCTGAAATGTGCAAAAAAAGAATGAATCACAAAATAAATACTAGGAAACTAGGTTCGAGTGAGGTGAAGAGTAGATTTACCTGCTATAACTCAATGCCTATATATCTCAAATTGGAGAAGGCATAGTAGATGTAAGGATCATCCTTGAAGTCTGCAAAAAGATTAAAGGTTAAACTGTAATTGACTGATAAGGCAGAGCACATTCAAATTCAGGAAATAAATAGTATAAATACCCGGATTGTCAATCAATGGTGCCTTCTACTTTCCCTTGTAATTAAGATTCTTAATTTTCTGTAAAGAAACCAAAATAATAAATTAGATTCTTTTCTCATGCTCTAATGCAGATTCTTTGATGAATGAGGTGCTCTGTACACCTTTGGTTTCCAGGGCCCCTTGTATTCAGGGTTTGGAATGGTTGGGGCCATCCATTCACCATCTTCTTCTTCATCCCAATCTTCTGGCTGCAAAAAAAATGCATAAAAACAATTATGCAGTAGCAGAAGATACAGCGGACATGACACAACACCACTTCCTCAAACTAGTTTCTTTTTTTCCAAATAATAACAGTACCTTTTTGGCATCAGGATCAGGAATCTCCTTAGGGATGTCATCATACCCCTTCATCAATAAGATCAACTTAGTTTGTTATTGTCAAAAAGTACATTTAACAAGCAGATATTGATGAAAGGTGGTGTGCCATGATTGCAATTCAAGCAAAAAATGCAGTGACTTCGAATTCATGTTATTGCTAAAAAAAATATCAGATGGCAACTTGAATAGCTGATGTAATCTAAATATACCAATATGATATGTTCATTTGAGTAAGTGTAGGTTGTTAGGAAAAGATTATGCATGTACAAATAAGTTAATAAAAGACTGACATTTTTGCCTTGACTTACATGTCCCCCATTTCAGGAACAAAATTATAGTAGTACAAGTTTGATCTGGAACTTACTTTTGAAACCCTTTTGCAAGTCAATGAACAGCATAATGCAAAGTTATTCAATAGCTCCTTTATGCAAACAATAGTAAATAAAATAAGCCACACGGTATCTCCCTCTTACAAATAGTTAAGAACTACAACCATTGGTAAGCGGCATTCTACTCAACCCTTCAACCAAAAAGAAAAAAAGATAAATGTTAATGAAGTTGAGTTAAGACTGGCTCTGGTTTCTTGTCCACGGGGTCAGGGATATACTCCTTGCCATCCCAATCTTCTGGCTGTCACATAGAACAATGAGATCAGACAACTAATTATGTGTGAAACTATGCACTCCTAAATAGTTTATGATGAACCACATGAAGACAACAGTTACCTTTTTGGCATTGGGATCCTTGATATGATTGGGAGGAAGAATACCCCAGTCACTATAAGCTATCTGTTTGCTTCTCATTGTTGTCAATAAGGATGCTGTACATGGCATACGGGAAGATAATGAAAGTGTAAACATGTGTTAGCTGGTCAGTCTCACATGTGACTTCATGAACCTTTTTGGTGCTGTACCCACAGATATCTGGGCCAAACATAATACTGCAATTTCCAAATGCAGATCATCAATTTAGATTACCAACAAGGAAGAAAAGATGGTGCAATATCAATTACTACCCAGGAGGTTATCCAAGAAAGTAAGAAGTACCTATAGGGGGTCACTCCACCAAATTTTTCTGATCAATTTCACCACTAAGAAGCTTAATATAGCCACCTCCGCAGTCAAGTTTTTGTTCATGTTTGACTGAGAATTGCAAAACTAATGTCTAGTCCTTGTTGCTGAATTCTGGAAACTCTGCCGAAATGGCATAGAATCTGTAGTCTTCAGTAGTTTGAATTCCTCTGGCATCTTATAGCAACAGATGCTTACAGTTTTTCTGTGGAATTATATTCTACAAAGCTCAGGACAGTAATTCTGCGGCAAGGATCATACAGTGAGCTTTAGTAACTGTAGATGGATGCCTTTATCTTCAGGATAACCAGTCCATTTACCAGATGTGTGGTTCCAGTCTCCAGCCATGTTCTCATCCTTCTTCCAGTCAGATATGACCCACTGATTCTCCCATCCATCTTCATTTTGCAACAAAAAATTGCAGAATTAAATTAACCATGCGGATATAGAGAAGTGTATATAAGTAATGTTTAGCAGGAAACAATTTTCTAATTACTTGACAGTTCAATTCAGAGCTATGAAAGTCCATTCTATCCATGATTGTTGCATAACCATATCTTTATTCTATTATTCTAAATCCTTAATCCCAAAACAGATAGTAAGAATATAGCTTCACCGGATTGAAAATATCTCTTTGCAACATCTGCATCATAATTTAGACTAACAACTAGTTAATCAAGGATACATCCAACAGGCATTAGAAGCAAAATCCACAAACAAACAAATGATCCACTCTCAAGCGACTCACAGTTATTCAGCATCGAATATCCAAATCTTCTGACACAACAATCTAGCAGGTCACAACACATGGCAAAGACTTAAGGCGATCAGACCTTTTGGTGAATTTGGTCAGAACGCTCTAAACTAGCCGCCATGATGATCAGCTTCACGCAATGCTCATGAGCAGACAATAAGCACTAACATCTAAAACCCTAGTAGAGACCACCAACGAACAAGAAGAAGAACCGCCGCTATACCAAAATGTAGGTAAACTAAAATATCAGTAATTTTCCTGCCGTGCGTGCAAAATTGAGAAGCGTCAACTGCAAAGGAACTGGAATAATCAATTTTCTCGATTCCATCAACTCCAACACATGTCGCGTTCATCTGATAACGCATCAATCGATCAATCAAAGATCAAACCAAATGTTAATCTAATTAATCAGCGTCCCAGTGCGAGGCCTAAGATTCAAAGAGCACTCGTCCTTAGATCGAAGTCAATACACATCGAAAACAGAGAGATCGTATCAACGAAAGCAGAAATACTACCGATAGATCGAAATGCGGGTCGATATCGAGCGCAGAAGCAGAGACCAGACCACAGATCTCCAGTGCAATGATGGAGAGGGCATACCTCCGAATCGCTCTTCGAAGTATACCTCAGCGGCGGCGACCGAGACGACGGCAACTGCCATCGCAAGGACGGCGGCGAGAGGAGGCTTCATCCGGGTCGTCATTTCAGAGCTATCTCTCATCCCTGTGGAGGTTCGCGACTGTAGGTAAACCTACAGCAAAATTACCTTACCGCCTGTGCGATGAGATGATTTCACGCCAATGGAGTGCCGCCACGCATCCAAATCGTCATGTCTGGTGTTCCTGAGGCTGCTTCGTTTGTTTTCAAAAAAAGGCTAATTACTGTGGTGGAAAAAACATGGGAACATAATAAACCAACAATTTGATCATATTTACTCGATTGCCAGCAGTATTCCTTCCTGGCGAGCAGTACGAGAAACAAACTTGAAATTTATCAAAACGAAGAGGGGCAAAATTGGGGTATAAAGATTATGATTCGGATATTATATGGGTTATTGCATCATGACATACGGCATTATTGCGTGCGAGGTCGGGGTCTCGATTGCGGCTGAACTCAACCAAATGACGTTGTTGGGATTGGTTCTAATCGACTCATGGGATTTTACGATCCGGATTCGAATAGTATTGGGTTTTATCCCTCCATAAATTGTTCAAATTAAAAAAAAATTATTTTCAAAAGATTTATTTAAAAAGATGATTTCGTTTGTAATTATTTTGGTAGTTATTTTTCAAAGATAATGTAAAATATTTATAAATTTGTATTTGAAAGTAAATTATAATCACATCTCTTTCGTAATTGAATTATCTTTAATTTTTTTAAAAGATTTTTTATTATTTACTCAATACAGATCTTCTAAAGACTTGTCATATCCACTAAAACTATTTGCATCAAACGCATAGCAATCTTATTAAGAAGAGGGTACAAATATCATGTTTAGAAAAATATTTATACACGTTTCAAGCCTAAATATATTTCCTGTAGTATTCTTGATCTTGTGTTTGTTATTTGTTTCCAAAGTGTTTTTATCCTCTTCTTTATCGTATTTTTTCAACAATCTAAAAACGAGATTTTGTGATTTTATACAAATTCACCATGGAAGCCACAAATACCATCAAATTATTGAATCAAGATTTTGTTCGTTTGGATCATTTTAATGGAACGAATTTTACCCGTTGGCAAGATAAGATAAAGTTCATGTTGACTGCTTTGAAGATCTTCTATGTACTTGATCCAAATCTTCAACCATCCAACCGACGATGACACCGATGAAGTCAAGGCTGAACAAAAGAAGAGAAATGAAGATGAAGTCATGTGTAGAGAACACATTCTTAAAATTCTTTTGGATCGGCTTTATAATCTTTATACGGTGGAACCATCTACAAAAGCAATTTGGAATGCTTTGGAATTTAAGAATCATGTTGAGGAAGAAGGTACAAAAAAAATTTTAATTTCTAAATATTTTGATTACAAGTTTGTGGATGACAAGTCAATCTTGGCATAAGTATATGAGTTGCATGTCATTGTTAATCAATTGAAAGCTAAAAAAATCAAACTTCTTGAAGTAGGGGCTATAATAGTCAAGTTGCTTTTATCTTGGAAAGGGTATAAAAAGAAGATTTTGCATAACTCCAAGGATATCACTTTAGAGTAAATTTAAAAATATCTTTGAATCGAGGAGGAATGAAAGATAAAAGTGAGAACTCTTTTCGCAATATAAAAGCAAATGTTATGAATTAGCCTAAGAATTCCAACAAAGACAAACAAAACAAGGAGAATCATTTTGGCCTCAAAAGGGATTAAAGAAAATTTAAGAAGCCAAAGAGCAGGGGCTGTTTTGTTTATGGTAAACCTGATCATTTTGCTAGGGATTGCAGATTTAAAAAAGTCTAGAAACAGAAATCAACTCCGTTTAGGGAGATGATAATATAATCGTTACGGTGAGCGAAGTGAATGTCATATTTGTCAAGGTTTCTAGTTGGTGGTATGATACTTATGCTATCATCCATGTTTGCTATGATAAAGCACTCTTCAAGACTTACAAAAAAGTCACAGAAGGGCAAGAGATTCAAATAGGAAATGAATTTCGTTTTAAGATGATTGGCAAGGGAAATGTAGAACTCACTTGGGGAAAGAAAGTCACTCTTACTAATATTTTTTATGTACCAGATATGAGTAGAAATTTAGTGAATGAGAATCTCCTTGGCAAACCTGGAATTAAATCTGTATTTGAATACGAGAAGTTAATTCTATCCCGTAATAGAACTTTTGTTGGAAAAGGCTATTCGGCTAAGGGAATGATCAAATTATATATTATTAACAATGATTCTAAATTTAATAAAGGCGTTGCTTCTATTTATATTGTTGATTCTTATTCATTATGACATGATAGATTAGCACACATTGGAGCTAGTATCATTAGAAGAATGGTTAAGTGTGGCTTAATAAATTATCATTTTGATGATTTTAATAAATATGAATCTTATGTTAAATCAAAGATGATGAAAAAAACCCTTCAAATGTGTTGAAAGATATACTAATTTATTAGACTTAATACATTATGATATATGTGAATTAAATGATATATTAACACCCGAAGGTAATAGATAATTCATTACTTTTATAGATGATATATCTAGATTTATATATGTGTACTTATTGAAACATAAAAATGATGCTTTTAATGCTTTTAAGGCATATAAAGCAGAAGTTGAAAATCAGTTAGGGAAGAAAATTAAAGTTTTAAGAAGTGATAGAGGAGGAGAATACTTTCCTAATGAATTTAACTTGTTTTGTGAACAACAAGACATAATTCATGAATGTTCAGCACCTAGAACACCTGAGCAAAATGGATTAGCAGAAAGAAAAAATAGAACTTATCTAGAGATGATTAATGTTATGTTATTGTATGCTAAATTATCTTATAATTTGTGGGGAGAAGCTTTATTGGCTATATGTCATATTTTAAATAGAATTTCCTTTAAAAAGAATAAGATATCTCTATATGAGTTATGGAAAGGAAGACAACCTAACATTGGTTATTTTAAAGTGTGGGGGTGTCTTGCATATTGTAAGAATAATGATCCTCAAAGGATAAAGTTAGGACCTAAAAGAATCAAATGTGCATTTATAGACTATGCCTCAAATAGCAAAGCATATATATTTCTTAATTTGAAGTCTAATATCATAATAGAATCTCGAGATGTTGAGTTCTTTGAACATTTAATGACTTCAAGTAATAATGTTCATCCTCCAACTAGTAAAGAGTCACTAGTGGAGACATCTCAAAAGGTTGGTGAGCAACATAATATTCCTTTGATTGGACATCAATCAAGTTCACAAGAGGTTGGAGAGCAATCTCATGAATTAAGGAGAAGCACTCGTGTACGAAAAGCAAAAATATTAAGATAAGATGTGATTGATTCTCAAAGTATTTCTTTTTACTTTGTAGAATGAACTAATGAGAGAGTCTTAAAAATAATTCCTTTTGTTTTACAAGTTGAAGATGATCCTAAAACGTTTAAAGAAGCTATGGCCTCTCGTGATACTACTTTTTGGAAAAATGCTATTAATGATGAGATGAATTCTATTATATCAAACCATGGGAACTTGTCGATTTACCTTTTGCCTCTAAACCTATTAGTTGTAGATAGGTATTTTGTAGGAATTATCATACAAATGGTACTCTCTAAACGTTCAAAGCAAGGTTAGTTGCTAAAGGATTTCGATAAAAGGAAGGAATAGATTATTTTGACACATATGCTCTTGTGGCTAGGATCACATCTATTAGAATTATTTTTGCTTTAACATCAAGTTTTTATCTTTATGTTCATTAAATGGATGTCAAAATGATATTTCTAAATGAAGACCTTGATGAGGAGGTATATATGGAATAACCTCAAAGGTTTTATTCTACCGAAAAATGAACATAAAGTATGTAAACTTATTAAGTCATTGTATGGTTTAAAGCAAGCTCCAAAATAGTGGCATAAGAAATTTGATGCGATAATTCTTTCTAATGGATTTGTTCATAATATTACAGATAAATGTATTTATCTCAAAACTTGTGATGACCATATGGTGATAGTTTGCCTTTATGTTGATGATATGCTAATAGTGAGCAACGACATGAAAGGTATTATAGAAATAAAGAGGTTTTCTATTTTCAACATTTAAATTGAAAGATCTTGGGCAAATTGATACTATACTAGGTATCAAGGTAAAAAGAAATAGTGGAGGATATGTTTTGAGTCAAACTCATTACATAGAGAAAGTACTGGAGAAATTCAGTCACTTAAAAATCAAAGAAGCAAATACCCCGTTTGACCCAAGTATCAAATTAATCAAGAATGTTGGAAGAACAATGGCTCAATTAGAATATTCAAGTGTTATATGAAGTCTTATGTATGCAACGTAGTGCACAAGATCTGATATAGCATTTGTAATTAATAAATTGAGTAGATTTACTAGTAATCCAAATGTAGAGCATTGGAAGGTTATTGAAAGAGTTCTTGGGTATCTTAAACGAACAAAAGATTATGACCTACAATACTCAAAATTTCATATTATTTTAAAAGGATATACTGACGCAAGTTGGATATCGAGTTTTGGAGATAACAAATCCACTACTGATTGGGTGTTCACCTTGGGAGGTGGCACTGTTTCTTGGAAGAAAAAGAAACAAATGCGTATAACTCACTCAACTATAAAATTAGAATTTGTTGCTCTGGTATGCAGGAAATGAGGCTGAATGGTTGAGGGACTTTCTATTAGAAATTCCATTGACTTCTAAGAGTGTGAATTCAATTTCTATACTTTGTGATAATCAAACCACTTTAGCTCGTCCGTATAGTGAAATATATAATGGAAAGTCAAGACATATAAGTCTTAGACATGATTATATGAGGAAATTAATCAAGAGTAGGATCATTTCACTCACATTTGTGAAAACAAGTAAGAATTTGGCTGGTCCATTTATCAAACCTCTTACAAGAGAAGTTGTAAGATCAACATCAAATTAGATGAGGCTAAAACTCCTTGAATAAAAGATCCATCAATGATAGCAACCCTACTCAACATTATGAAATGAGTAACGAAGAGTTCAAAGGGTAAAAACAAGTCATTGACATGTGGAGTGGTTCAGCACTTTGAAACATTTTACGAGTCCCATCTAAAGATGTTAAAGTGTTAGTTGTCACAAAATAAATATTGAGTTAATTATACTCTTAATGAAGTTCAGTCAAGTTAGGACAAGTATCTCAAAGAGTGACAAAGGTACTATAAGAACTTCACATATATGAACTTAGAAGTGGTGTCGCTTCAATTTAAAGTTAGAGTTTCTCTCATAAAAGTTCATAAACTTGGATAAGCCTAAGACCATATTAGGGCTGAGCAAGATTTTATGAAGAATATAAGGTTGTTGTATTTATGTGTGTGGTATCACTAGTGTTGTGATGCTTACACTAAGGTAATATTCAAATCGAAAAATATATTATTTTATTCATAAATATTATTTAATTATTTGAAGAAAATTTTAAATTTAAATAAGTGGGGGATTGTTATAAATTGTTCAAATTAAAAAAAATCTTTTCAAAATATTTATTTGAAAATGTGGTTTTTTTGGTGGTTATTTTTTAAAGATTACGTCATTTGTGAAAAATATCTATAAATAGGTATTTAAGACTAAATTAGGATGACATCTCTTTCATACTCTTTTTCTTTAGTTTTCAAATGATTGAATTAGATATTCTCTAATTTCTCTTTTATGATTCTTTATTATTTGCTCAATATAGATCTTCTAGGTTTAGCATATCTACTAAAACTATTTACATCAAACCCATAATAATTTTATTGAGAAGAGGACGTAAATATTATTTTTAGAAAAATATTTATACATATTTCAAGCCTAAATATATTTCCTATATTATTCTTCATCTTGTGTTTGTTATTTATTTCCAAAGTGTTTTCATCCACTTCTTTGTCATATTTTTCTAACAGTACATGTGAAATGTACATATGATATTGATCGAGTTTAATTAACTAAACGAAGATATTCCATATATTTGGTTTACTCATAAAATAAAAAAAAAATTGATATTCTCCATCAATTATCCTGTATATTTTATAATTATTGATCTAAAAATTTCTCTTATTCTCTCCCTCCCAATAAATAACCCAATTCAAGAAGATATAATCGGCCTTTATTAACAGTTTGTGATGAAGAGTAAAACATGATGGAAAAGATTCAGATATGACAATGAGAAGCATTTTGCCTGCCGCATGGCCTTCATGAAATGCAGTAGAACATGGAAATGATACATGCGAGAGAGAACATGAAATGTATTAACAGCACATTCCAATGTTGCAAAATTATATGCTTAGAATTTGCAACATAATAGAAAAATGAAGCTTCCATGCTGGTTTTGAAGCAATTATGGATTCATATTGCAATTAGCTAAAGGATTCAAACAAGTGACAAAATTGACTTACCACGATTAACAGACGAGAGAATTGGACAATTCCAGACCACGATCATCATGTGTGGAAAGATGCATAACAAAATCGAACATGCTCCCAGTTTACAGAATCCAGCATCATGAAACCTCAGATGATTATTTCCGAAAAACTGGACAGCAGACTTGTCACAGTATCCGGTCGACAGAAAAAGTAATACACATTGTAAGTTACAAGTACATGCTCATCAGACACCACCATTTTTATTAGAGGAAGGTGATGCCAAGTTCTATAAGCACGACAACACAGCAGGGCGTGGGGTCCTCGTGGAAGAAGCAGATGAACTAGTTTTAATGATCAACACCCTTGACAACTGTGACTGGGCAGGTACCATTGTTCACCACATGGTTACTCACACTACCCAACAGCAGCCTACAGAAGAAAAATCAATGCATCACTAATCATTCATAAATGACACAGTAAAATGGGTACTTGCCGTAAGCACATCTTGCGACTATTAAGTCTCAACATAAAAAGGTTCTCCTTTGGACAAAAGGTCAGTAGCAAAAGGAGAACTTGTCAACCTCTTAATCCCCCCATGCCCTCTATTCCCAATGATCAAACAGCTCAGAGGAATGGTATCAATTGCTTCACATATCTTTTCGCGTGCATCTCCCCAGTAGATCTTCATCAGAACAACAATCTGGAATATTGTAGCACAATAACAAGTCCCTTAAACATAGAAAACTGGTATCTGTTCACTGTTAGGCTTGAGAAAAATTGACAAATAGAGACTACCTCCTTTTGCCTGGCTACAGTATTGAGAATGTCCAGAGTTTCAGCATCAGGCTTCACCCCGTATTTCTTTGCAATTCCAGGGTCAGAGAATTCTATCAGTGGGATAAATGCTGCCATACATTGGACAAACCAAAAACCATTACTGCAAGAGGCTAAACACATTATTTAAGACTGATAAACAACAGAAATATCATAATCAAATGGCAATGTGTTTAGCACGTCATACTGACATGAATCACAGATTAAAGTATATAACTACAAGCAGAATAGGCAGGAACAAGTTTGGCATATCACAGTCATAACTCTGCTGCAATCATAAACTTGACTCAGTTGACAGAGATAGAGAAGCTGTACTTTCTTAGGGAACTTTTTCTTATCCATAAGTAGCTTCAATTTTTTAAATAATAAAAAATACAATAGCAAATTGGAAAGTGAGAGCTGTTAGCTAGAGAGAGTCACATTTGTTATAAGACTAATATTAGTATTGACAACCTCAATGGTCATGTAGACAACCAACAAAGTAAAAGACAAGGTGAACCAAGGAAGGAATCTTAAAAGATGAACCAAGCTTTAAAACCCAGCACGAAAGTGCATTTGCAAGCAGGGCAAGCAAGATCTGATGTGAATTTATTTTCTCATCTAGAATTCAGCAAACTGACACTGAGAAGTGCTTCAAAATTAAACTTGGCTTGCTTGGATTTTGTTGATCCAAGAGGATTGCTAACTCAAAAAAAAAAAAAACATTTTAAGATGACATTAATCATGTTGAATTTTAACCTAACGAAGAGAGTGAATTCAATGTTTAGAGTTTTGTAGCATTAACATATTACTATTCAAAATTAGTAACTCTCGATCAACTACCCACTAAATGTACAGATATGAATATATGTTAAAACTACAAAAGATTTATTGCTTACACTAATATGTTATCGTCACAAGGAGAAGAAAAGGTTGAAGGCTATGATTGGTACCACAGAAGGAGAGCCTCGAACAATTTACCAAAATTAAACTGTGTAGAAGGAAACACCAAGAGACAGAAACTAGAAAAGGTTAAATATTATCATGTCATATTGCATGTATACTTAACTTATTCAAATGCTTTTAAATGCTTACACAGCACTCTAGTGTTTTCTGTTCTGTATCGGTAGGCTGGCTATAGGCTAATTCTACATAACAACGTATGGATTTCCAATTCAACCACTGTTTTCTAATGAATCCGATCCAAGACGTTTTTACCATTCTGGCCCAAACAAGTCCATTCTTAATTTAAAAACAGGGACTTATAAGCCAGTAATACTGAGAAAACAATTAAAAGAATGAGCACAATCACATTGTCTCAGCATTTTTTTAGTATGCTAAGTTTAAAGTTTAAATATTATGCCATATGATAAAAACTATGACTTTCTTTACCATCAATTCTCTCGCCAACTGCTTGTCCATCCACTGCATAATAATAATGTGGAATCATGCAAAGTTCTTCTAGCATCATTTACGTTTCAATTTGTGAGATTACCTAGTGGATATGCCAACTCTTAACCGAACACATAACACAAAAAAGAGACATAAGTGGACGTTGTTCTAAAGTATTCTGTATGCTGTAGAATTTATAAATACAAATCAACTGCCATATTATCACATTTATACTTGCAGTGAAGCCACAAAAGTTGGAGGACTTTCTATGATTTCTTATTGCATTGATATCCTACATGAACTAGAGATAAATTTACTAGATGAAAGTCATGAAATTTGGAAGCAACAGAAAAATAAATATTCCTGGAATTAATGATCAAGAATTCCTAAGCTAGCAAACAAAGCTTCCATAAAGAAATGCAAAAGAACTGGCAAGCGTGTAGCGTTGAGCGAATGCCATCAGTACTTAGTTGGACACAAATCACAAACCTAGACGAGTTGCAATTCATCATATAGCGAAATCGAGATCATAGCTTGTCCACTCCTAAATAATACTTGTCACCAGATTTACCTGGACCTAAACAATAATCGAGTCCTAGAGTCTCATTCAATGAACACCCACCAGATATGTTGCAATTATTGCAACCCTGACTTTCGTCACTCCATCTGCTTCTACGTGCAGGAAGGCCGAAAAAATTCGATCTTTTCAACAAAAGGACGATCGTAACACCAAAAGTCTTTTTGGGGTCGACATCAAGTACAGGGGTTAACAAAGGGAGAAAAAGTTGAAAGTTCCCTTTGAACGAAATGAAAGGAATCAGAGGAACCAAAGGGAAAGGGGGAAAGTGCGAAGGGGATCGGAGGAGAGAGAAGGAGGGAGCAGACGATCCATACGAGATCCGGTGGTCTCCCAGAGCTGCATCTCGCCCTCTTCATAGCAGCCCTCCTTCTGGACGTTGACCACGACGAGGTGGTCGCCGTCCCTCACCACGTTCTCCACCGCCCACCGGAGCGCCGCCTTGCAGCACGGCGAGAAGTCCATCGCCACCCCGACCCTACGATCCGCCGCCATCGACTGCTCGCTGCGCCTTCGTCTTCGCTCCGCAAAGCGATCCAAGGAGAGCCGAGGAAGAATGATGATGATGAGGCGGTCGACGAACGGCACAAATATAGAGACCACGCATCGAAGTAGTCTGATAAGAATACCCACCCTTTTTCTCACAACACGGGTGACATGGACGAGTGGCGTTTGCACCAACGAGTGCAACTAATAAAACAAGGGGTGTGCTTATCGAACTTAACTCGATCAGGACGACCAAGATTCCCCTGCGTAGCAGTCGGCGTGTATCATTCATCACGACGCCAACCATGTGATATCTATGAGTGTTGCAGTAAACTTGATGCAGTAAGAAAATGATGGACAAGTTATTAACCACATGAGTTATCATCCGAGAATTTTTCCGGTTTCTCGATGTTATTTACCAACAGATTTTTTGTAATTCAATAATCTAACCATGGTTATTGTAATTCTCATAATTTTGAATATTTTTGAAGGGGTGTTGATTTGTTCTCATACTGGAGCTGATTCTTTAGATCTTAGTTTAAGACTGTAAGGTTTAGTGCATGCATCACACAGGCAGATTATAAGTGGGAGGTTCACAAAACATCAAGTACTTTAAGCTATTAATTAGGCATCTTTAAACCTTACCTTGAAAGAAGATAAGGTTTTGTTGCTTTCAATCATTCATTCAAATATGAAAGAGGGGTCTGTCAACTAATCCCTCGAGGCACTATGTGGTCAGAAACCAATAATGGAGTCTCATCAATTTATTCTGATAAAGATTTTCAAATCACCACTAACCCAATATTTTTTTAATTATTATATTATTTTTTTTGTAATTTTAACAATTCATCATAAGTTTTGAGCTCGAATTTCATTTATTTTCTGAAAAAAAAATTACTTTATATATATATATATATTATAAAATGATCTAATTCTTTTATTTTATTTATTTTGTTCACTATTAACAATTTGTATAAAATGATCTAATTCTTTTCATATATTTTTTTCTCTCTTCACATGCAATAGATTAGATCGGTTGTAAATGCCAATATTTCAGGGGCTAATATGAAAAAGGTTTTTCAAAAATAGCAAAAAATATGTGTTGGAAAAAATTAAAAGAAAATCCCGACCCGTGTTCACACTTGGCTCGTTTCTCCCCCCCGCCTCAAACCTCGGAGGAGGAGAGAAACGGCGAAGGCCAGAAGGAGACGAAGAAGAGAGGAAAGGATCGATCTCTATCTTTCCATTCACGGCATCTGTTCCCGTTTATTGTTGTTGTCGGATCGCTGTCTTGATCTGTGCTCGCCGAGGAATTCTGCCTGAATCATTTCTTTCTACCATGTTCTTCAAATCTTTTTGGGCTGAGCTGGCTTTGATCTTCCGGTGGTTGTTGATCTCATTTAGCCGTTCTCTTCGTGATACTTTCTGTCGTTCCTTGAGTCGGGATCTGGAATTACTTCGCCTGAAAGGGGATCTTTTTAGGGTTTTCCGCTTTGCATTTTTTCGTGCTTCCTCATCCGCCAAAATTTCAGGCCTTAAGCCTCGTAATATTGCTTTTAGTTCGGGTCTGGGGTTTCCGAAGAATGGATTTTGAGCTTCTTCTTACTTTAGATTAGAATGCCGGTTTCGTATTTTTCTAGTTCCTTTTCCGGGACACAGAAATGAAGGCCCTTTGTGCTATTTTTCGTGTTTTGACTTGAATCATTTGGTATTGTTTCGGATCTTGTAGCTTCAAGATCGTTATACATTCTACTATGATAATTCACTTATTAGTTTCCGTTTTTAAGGACTCTGCATTTACAAATTAGGTAGGCTTGAGCTTCCCAAGCGATGACGGAGCCTCTTCTTATCTTGGATGCCGTAGCTTTGGCCCATGTAGTTAGTGGAGACTGGCATATATTTTTTTCAAAGAAAAAGACTCGAAGCAAGAATTATGGATACTTGTTATGGAAATCTGAAATCAATTAAGTTGTTTTGAAAATTTTGCATTGAATTCCAAACATTAATCTGCGGGATTCGAGACAAGCTTTAACTCCTAGGTACTAATCATGCGTGGACAGTATGATTTTGTCTTTGCACTGGAAACACATAGTTCATATTCATTTTCGATGTGCATGGAAGCTGAAACCTAGGTTGATTGTGTGCTTCGTTGCACAAGCTTTTATTCAGCAGACACACATTTATGTGCTACATATTTGCACACTTTTGAACATTGCGTTAGGTTTCCTAATGTTAGAGAAAAGTCCTGCGTGCCTGTCTTGTTGATATGCATTTTGTTTTTTTAACAGGTATTTGCTTTAGGATCTGTTGCTTATATGAGGTACTGATATAGATATTAGTAAAGTACCTTGCACATGGCTTCGGTGAGCATGGCACCCTCGTCGGAGTTGAAAAATAATGATGGTACTAGTATTTGCGTGGATAGTTTGCCAGATGAATTGAATGATATGAAAATAAGAGATGATAAGGTAAGTGGATACACCGAATGATGGATAGGATCAATGGTGTACTTCTTTATTTCCCATTTCTTCAAGTGAAGAAAACTGTAATTATTTCAAAGCCAAAGTTATGTATTAGTCTTCATTGGATGCTATTTGTAGGAAGTGGAAGCTACTGTAATTGATGGTAACGGGACAGAGACAGGCCATATAATTGTGACAACTATAGGTGGCAGAAATGGCCAACCCAAACAGGTAAACTGGCTAGTTTGCCAAGTAACTGTTTCTTGGTTGATTCATCATCATTGTTATCCAGTTGTAGGTTTCTGGCCCTTTTGTTAGTTACTTATGCTGGATGTCTGGCAGACTATAAGTTACATGGCTGAACGTGTTGTTGGGCATGGATCATTTGGAGTTGTATTCCAGGTGAGTTTAACATTTCACAACTTGTCTTGTTGTCATTGACAAGAGTGGGTTATACTTGTGTATTCCTTACTGTTACTTTTTTTTGTGCATTAGTATAGAGGGTTTTACAGGACTACATGTAGCTCTGTGCTATATGTATATCTACTATTGTTCTAGCTATCTTTTCCTAATAATCTTTGTTATCTTTAGGCAAAGTGTCTTGAGACGGGTGAGACAGTTGCTATAAAAAAAGTTCTTCAAGACAAGAGATATAAGAACCGAGAGTTGCAAACCATGCGTATTCTTGATCATCCAAATGTTGTTTGTTTGAAGCACTGCTTCTTTTCAACAACTGAAAAGGAAGAGCTTTATCTTAATTTGGTGCTAGAGTATGTGCCTGAGACTGTTCATCGAGTAATCAAGCACTATAACAAGATGAATCAGCGTATGCCATTGCTATATGTGAAGCTTTACATGTATCAGGTAAGTCCAAATTTCTTATCAATCTTCATTTGGCAATTTTGTTTTGGGGAAGTTCTATCTGAAACAAAGTTTTCTGATTTTACTTTATAACGCTTTCCACATTGGCCTTGTGTTTATTAGATTCATGAATATGTTGTATGCTTGGATAATTTCCCCAGGCATCTAGTTTTTATCGGGTCCTATTTATAGTTCTCCTCTGCTTTTTCTAAATGATGCCATGGTTTTATCATATCATCCGGTCCATTAGTTGAATGAACGAATTCTAGAAACTTCAAAAGGTACATATCCTGATATTTCTTTTATGTTGACAGATTTGTAGAGCATTGGCTTATATTCATGGTTGCATTGGGGTGTGCCACAGGGACATAAAACCACAAAATCTTCTGGTATGTTATTTCACTATTTTCATGGAAACATGTTCTCTTTTTTTTATGGAATACCCAGCTTCATACGGATACGAGGACAAAAGATATAGAGGTCTTATCCCTTTTTTCAAGGATAAAACTTTGTTCAGAGAAGAGGAGATGCATGTGATTGTAAACTGATGTTTACATTGCCATTTAAGTAACATGGGGTTACTTTGAAGTGTTTATTAACGTGTGTTTAAACATACATGCAAATTTTGTTTAACATGTTTATGCATACATGCATATGTATTTGCTTTATTTATTGAAAAAAATGAAAATGTAGGTGCGTGCATTACATTTGCATGCATCATACATGCCTATTAGTTTGACATGGGTAAGTAGGCAGACATATGCATTTATTTTATTTGTTAAAAATCCACATGTATTGTACATGGTATATTTGTATGTGATTTTACCACATTATCGGTCCATACCGATGTATCAACTAGCTATTAGTATGGTACATCCACACCAAGCTGTACCGGTCCACACATGCATAATTGATCGATTGTCGATTTGCATGCAACCACACATGCCTTGCTGGTTCATACCAGTGTACCGACCAGCTGTCGGTATGGTACGTACTGAGCCATACCGAGTGTACCAACACATGGTTTGGTGGGATGTATCTTTGTATTGCTCGTATTGGTCCCCTATTAAATTGGTATGTACCGCCCGTACCGAGCGGTATGCCTCAGTACGACGAACCATGGTTTATACAATGGTGCACAAAGCTAGACAATGGTGGAGCCACATATGCATTGGCTAATGTACATTTAGTGTTAATTGTTGGGAGAAGGTGGTACATCTTTTATTATGCCCCTCCTCAAGCCTCTACCTATACCTCTTGTGGTAAATAGAGCTAATAAAACATTTCTTGCACTTAATTTGGTGGAGTTGTTTATTTATCTAATTCAATTTTAATCACCTCTTAAACTCGTGTCCTTATGTGATGGAGATGGAAATTATAGAACATGCTATTCTTTTTTTTATTTTGGGTTTTTGATTTTTGATGGGGGGTTTGGGGCAGCACTGTTTATCATAGAGAATAGTTTCTATCACATCATTTTTCAGGGCAGTATAATAATAGCAAATCATTCAAGTAAGCATTTCAGGAGACTGATGATATGCTGCATTCTAAAATTTGGTTTCATATCTAGCTTTCAAGGGAACAGATCTTATGGAACATTCTATTTAATATATAAACATGGGAGGATATTGCAAGTATTAGCATACAACTTTTAGATATATACATATATATATATTGATGTTGGCCCCGATGATGATGTCCACCCCTCTAGTTATATATGTGGATGGTCATGGATATATGATGCTTTACCTGTGTTTGCTTATGTTATATCTTTGAACTTCCAACAATAGAAATACCAACCAGACTTTCTGTAACAGGTCAACCCACATACACACCAGCTGAAACTCTGTGACTTTGGGAGTGCCAAAGTTTTGGTACATCTTTGATCCTTTCTGTTGTGCTATGAATGGATTCCTTGAGTGGCTTTCGCTGAATTTAGACCGCTTATTGGTTTTAACAGGTGAAAGGGGAACCAAATATATCGTACATTTGTTCAAGATATTATCGAGCACCTGAACTTATATTTGGTGCCACCGAGTACACAACAGCAATTGACATATGGTCAGCTGGCTGTGTTCTTGCTGAACTCCTCCTTGGACAGGTATACCACTACATACCACCTTAGAAGAATTTCAAGAGAATTAATTTTTTCCTGCAAATGATTGATTTGGTTTCATCGACAGCCTCTCTTTCCTGGTGATAGCGGAGTTGATCAACTTGTAGAAATTATCAAGGTCCCCCCTGCATTTTTCCTATTTCTATCTTATATCTGTGTTCTTAATATCACAACTTTTGTTTTTATCGGTTCATTTGACATGGTGCAGATTTTGGGTACCCCAACAAGAGAAGAAATTAAATGCATGAACCCCAATTATACAGAGTTCAAGTTTCCACAGATCAAAGCTCACCCATGGCACAAGGTATATTCATATAACTTCTCATCATGCTATTCTTTTCCAAATTTCCAACTTTCTATTTCCTTTTAGATGTCCCAGTAAGAGTTATAACCAAATCTTAGAACGTTCTGTCAGGTTTTTCATAAAAGAATGCCACCTGAAGCAGTAGATCTCGTCTCTAGGCTTCTTCAGTATTCTCCAAACTTGAGGAGCACTGCTGTGAGTATACCAAGGGCATCCTTTTAAGTACTGTACCCAAGGGCATATATCATATGTCCAGATAAAAATTTGGGATGCCTAACTAGGTTTCTACATGTGCAGTTGGAGGCATTGATTCACCCATTTTTTGATGAACTTCGAGATCCAAATGCTCGTTTACCAAATGGTCGTTATCTACCTCCTCTCTTTAACTTCAAGCCTCATGGTAAGTCTGGATTGGAATGACACTGCTGTGTAACTGTGGATTACATTCTTCTGATGTTATCCAAGTCATCCTTTCTCCTTTTGAAAATAATGCATCTCTATTGGCTATGCATGATCAACAGAGTTAAAGGGAGTTCCGATGGAGATTGTGCTAAAGTTGATCCCTGAGCATGCAAGACAGCAATGTGCCTTCTTAGGACTATGATCTGTTTACTCAATATCGCTAAGAAATAGCACATGTGTCCTTGCGAGGTATAAGAAATATACTTTCCTCTTAATTCTATGAATGTTGTGCATGTACCTCTTGAATCCATATATCTTAATTATTGTTAGTCATTGTCACCTTCGTGGTTCTTATTGTCGTTATTTGTTGACGTCTGTGCTACCTATTTCTGGAACACTTGTACAATATTTTGGTGTGCAAAAAATGTAGGATGTTTTCATCCACAAATTAATGTGGTCGTTGTTGGAACGTTACTTTGAATTTGTTTTCGAGCAAAAGAAATTAAAGATAAAAAAGAAAGCAGCCAATATAAGGTGAGTAGAAATCCATCCTTCTTTCTTGATGACATCTTCATGAACTCAGCTTTAGCTCACCAAAGATCGAGTTTAAGGTTACCGATGTGATGAATTTGCAGAGAAATTTAGATGGAACACTCGTTATGGTTATTCACGATGTTGACTTGCATCATTCTTTCAATGCATCAATCTTGACCCAATCTCTGGTGCTGCTCCACTTGATATCACACTTCTCTCAATAGAGTCATTGTTTTGCTTTTCTTTTAACTTACAATATCTCAAGTGTATTTATTATTTTGGGTAATATATCGACTCGTATAGTCTGATATTATTATAAAATAATAAAATAATACTGTTTGATTCTTTATAAGACCTAATATTTATTCGGAACAATTCCAAAAAAAAAGCCAGGAGAAAAAAAATGCTGATTGTGTATTGATTTTGCTAAGCTTTAAAAAAAGAAAAAGAAAAAGGAGAAAGTCAATTTTGGTGAAAAGAATGATTCTAAGCAAAACAATGTAATATGCAAATAGCCTTTTGATGCAACTTTTGATCCACCACGGCAACTTTTTGTGATGGGGACACATCTCCCCATCATTTCTCCACTTTAGAGGAGCATAAAGTCGTAGCACACACCCACTCAGCTATCAAAAATTAGAAGAAAGTTTGAACCTGCTCATGAACTATTTGAATTCTGTGGAATTACAATGGGAAACAAGTCGGGGTTGTGCAGTTCTCCCTCCTACTGCTTCAGTTCATCCCACATGAACAGTTCCATTGGTTTTTACTCCACGAGATTCACAAACTCATAACTCTTTTTTATTGCAAAGAAAATACAGAAAGTGCAAACTCAAAGCCTCATTTTAAGAAGAAGAAGAAGAAGAAGAAGAAGAATAAGAAAAAAAAGAAAAAGAAATATACACACCATTGAGTATCACACTAAAGATGGAAAGAAGGAGAGAGAGAAAAAAAGCAGAGACTACACTCAGTGGAAAAACACTGTAGCCCATCAACTATCCTATGTGCAGGTAATTATCATATCAAAATTTGGGTTAACATGGATTACGAGACCCCTCACTTCTTCGTCGTCTTCTTCTCGAGTTAGTTGGAGATGCCTCCTGAGTCTTGGTCGTGATCATCAGGATCGGCGAGGAAGAGGTCGAGGCGATTGTGGCCGAGCCTGAGGGAGTACATGGCCTTCTTGTACTCGGCCCAGGTAAAGGACTTGTAGCGCCGGGGGGCGTGCGGCCTGATCATCTGAGGGAGCGCCGTGATGCGCGTGCCCGGCGACGGCGCACCGAAGAAGACCGTCGACGTTCTCGGCCTGCAGGAGTTCGCCATGGCTCTGTGCCTCACGCTCACCAGCCTTCCGTTCGTCATCGCCTTCGTCAACACATACACACGCAAATTAAACCGAGGTCAGTCACTTCTTCTGCGACATCTCTCTTCTTGGTCTTTCCTCGATCCATCTCCAGAAACACACGGACGCACAGAGAGAGAGAGAGAGAGAGAGTAGGGGGTTCATGTGGGTCCCATTGTTTGTTGGCACAGGGACACACGGAAGTCGTATCAGTGCCACCGCACGTTTGACCCATCAAAAGCAGTCTCCTCCTCTCTTCCTTCTCCAAAAAGAAAGAAAAAGGGAGGGAAAAGGATGCAGTGCTATTGGTTCTATTAATCACTCGTTCTCTTTCCAGGAAAAAACACCTATTAATCTATTTGTTTTCTGATTTAAATAAACAAATCTGATCGAACCCGATAGATACGATATGTCAAAAGAAACGATCGATCCAACCAGAGATTAGGAAAGATAGATAGATAGATAGAGAGACTGATAGATGATATAAAACATCTTATAAAATGATCAGATCAGTGAATCTATCGAATATGAATGATGACAAGAATCATTTTATTTGGGTGCAGTGGAAGGGTGGTGGGAATCTCTTATCCGAATCGACTAGTTATCGTGTAGTTGGGTTTGAATCTCGTTATATTACATTAACTGCCAAAGATTAACCACCTATTATTACTCGTATAAATGAAGGGAAAAGAAAAAAGGAAAGGATCGATTTTACAGGATGAGGTGGAGCTGTGGGAATCACGAGGACACGGTGGATATGATTTAGATGTATGAGAGGACGCGTAGATACGCTCCGAATCTTGACGTGGTGGGAGGCGACAGCAAAAACGATGATTGCACGCCCCACAGGCGTCGTATACTAACCTGGAGCGCGTCGCCGACGATGACATAAAAAGCCGCCGGGTCTGCCGGCACCGGGATCCACACGCCGCCGTCGTCCGCCTCCGCCGAGAGTATCTGCAGGCCGTCGACGTCGTTGGAGCGGAGGATGCTAAGGATCTGCGGGTCGGAGTGCTCCCCGAACCCGATCCTGCCGCCGCTTCTCTTGTCCCTGGACTTGCCGGCGGCGGGCTCGCGGTCGGCATCACCCCCGGCCCTGTCGCTGCCGGGCCAAGGAGGGTAATGATTCAGCCTGACCAAGGAGTCATTCTCGCTGTCCTGCAGCAGCCTGCTGAAGACTCGGGTGTCCTGCAGCCCCAGCCCTTCTCCCACCATGTCCAGTAGCTGACATGCCAGCTGCCTCACTTGCTTCACATACTCATTCACCACCCCACTGTAAAGGAACAACCAAAAAGAAAGTGAGTGAGTGATGAAACAGCTGAAGCAGATGGATGAAGGAAGCTGCACCATGGAAACATGCAGGCACAAGCAAAAGGTGAGAGGACAGGACACCATTTTTACAAGTCATCTCCCTCCCAAGCTACTGCTGCTTCCCTTTGTATCCCCTTTTTGGTGCCACTAACCCCTCTTTTTTTACCATAAAAGGAGGGGGGCCAGGGTATGTGCATCTATAGTTTGTTTGGCTTGTAATGGATAGCATGGCTGGAGGCAAGCATCTTTCATTCAGGTGTGATGTACTTCTTGTGGGACCTGACTGTTTCCCCCCTCCCTCTGCATAGTGGTTTTCTGTGCCTGTTCCCAACCCATGATCCCTTGTGCTACTCTGCTGTGCATTCCGTAGTTTTGATTCTCGTTCCAGTGACTCTTCTACAAGAGCTTCAATTGACCAAGAATGCTGGTGAGAGTTCATGGGGGTAAGCTGGGAGAGAGAGAGAGAGAGAGAGAGAGCATGGGGTTCACACAAATACACATACCCCGCCACAGCCACAGCCACAGCCGGACACACGAACTCCACCGCTGGAACCTGATAATTCCTGCTTTTGAATCGACTAGAGCCCACCCCCATGCCCTTCTTTCCACCACTCCGGATCCACTTCCCCAAATTATTCATGACTGCTTTAGACTAACAGCTTCAGCTCAGCTTCTGCACAGTTAGCCGTAGGCATGTGCACTAAGAACTGAGCTGTGGATTTGAGTCTCTGAGCCCTTAGTTGTCTGTCCTGCCACTGACAGGAATTGACAAGTACGACCGGGAGTGCCTTTTCTCAGATGGGTACTCCTCCATTATTCTAACCCTACTCTTTCTCTCCCATCGTTCCTCTTCATTATGTGCCTGTGCCTGCTCTGAGAAACCTCAACAGCATCATGGTCTTAGCTTGCATGACAACCCCTATCAGCCCTGACATTAGACCTTAATAAGCTTCTACAGGCTCTACACTATGAGTTATGAGCTATGCACTGCAATTTCCTTAGGCCTGGGTAGGTGGGCGTTGATTTGATTACCTTCTCAAGCCAAGGCATGAGATGAAATAGTGGCGAGGAAGCATCAACGCAAGCAAGGGGATTATCTTTCGACCTAATTCCGTGATTGCTGAACCAAACCTAGTCTAGCTATGAGGAGAAGTGGGCGATGCGATCATGTATACGCTTAGAACACCCAGCAATTCAAATTCTACGATACGACGGTAATAGGTAATATGACTGCAAACTCCTGTGGAATTCTACAAGGAGGAAAGGAGAGGACATGTTCATCCTTCCTGTTGAAATGTCGGGTCCCTGTTGGTTGATGAGACACCTTCTTGATCTCATCCACATGTCAATGTCATTAAGCATTTAGATATGCTTGTCAATCCTTTTCCTCACTGAAAGTTCGGTGATTTCTTCTAGTAATTACCTAGTAGGGTTCGATTTCAACCAACCAATGATTGAAGGAGATACATCCGCCACCATTAGCAATGCTTTTTCTAAGATCACAATCATGGACTCTCTCTCTCTCTCTCTCTCTCTCGCATCCCCGTTGAGAAAGAAGATTTCGATCGCCATTCTCAGCGATGTTGAATCCATGTTGGTGCATTCCGAGATTGGCAGCATGATGTCATACAATGCCAAGGAGGAATCTTAAAGCACCAGAAACATAGTATTTAATAGCTCTGCATGCTTGCCTGCCGAGTTCTTCAACCATATATTCTATGCATACGAGAGAGAGAGAGAGAGAGAGAGAGAGAGAGAGAGAGAGAGAGAGAGAGGTTGGTGATCCATTCCCGGCATACCTGAAATGTATTGGATCCTTTCTACATATCGTCTTTGCTTTCTGGGAGATGTAAGAAGGGTTGGAATGGAGAAGAAGGTACTCCAACTCCCCCATGTCGCCGTTGAAGCCGATGCTCCGAATGCCGTAACCGAGCGGGGTGGGCGGGCCGGCCTTCTGCTTCTCGCAGGGAGGTAATGCGAAGAACCTCGCCCCCTCGGCCTCCATCTTGGCGATGACGCTCCTGAGCACGCCATGGTTGACCACCTTGACGAAGCCGAACTCCTCGCAGGCCCGCACGAGCAGCTCCGCCGCCCGGCCTCTCTTCCACGAGAGGTCGACCACGGGGTACTCGAGGGTCCTGATCCTCTCGTTGCTCTCTGCCGTGACCGACGCAATCACCATGGCTTCTGCTGCTCCACCATGCGAACACAATCTGGAGGCGAGCGCTAAGGAACCAGGAAGAGAGGAGGATGGCAGCGAATGGGAGTCGGAGTAGGGAAGTGGGCTAAGCTTGAGAAGGGTGCGAGAGGACATACACCATGGAGGTTGTGCGGTGGGGAGGAGGCTATGCGGGCTTTATATCGTGTGCGGTGTGGTGCGAAGAGGAGGAGGAAGATTGAGGAAGGTGTATATGTGGATGCCAAAAGGTAGAACAACAACTAGGAGATTCCCAACCAGACGCTGACCCTGGTGCAATCTTTTCTTCTTTTTCTTTTTCTCTAAGTTTTGTGAAATGATAGCAGATGGAGTACGATAAATTTCCCTCTATCGATTTCCCAACCTTAACAACGACTCATTCGACTATCCAACCCATCTCCACATCCGATTAGTTGATATCATAATCTGATTTGGACGGGTCACATAGATACATACAGCTGCTCCACAAAACCCCTCTCTCTCTCTCGCCCGCGCGACGGAGTACGACTTCTGTTGGTGCAAGTGGATACTTCTCTTTATCGGTGTAGTAGTATTATGCGCATCTGTGCGTAAGTCAAAAGCAGCTTCGAGTTTACTCGGAATCGTGGCTGCGACAACACCGCAGGGCGGTGGTGGTTGGCTGATCCATGGGGCCCACCGCGGGGGCCATCCGCCCCGACAGTTGGGTCGATGATGAGTTGCCAAGTCAGCCGCATCTGATTAACCCAAAGCCGAACCGGCTCACCAAAATAAAAGGATTCGGATTTGTCCTTCCGAACCGCCCATTCCTTTTTATTCCTACTTTTCATCCCATCGTCGGTCCGATTTAAATAAACATATATATATAATACATTATTTTGATTATAAAGTGAAAAGTCAAAGTGGGATTCCGAACGCCTTAATGATTTATAATCATCGATCGTGATTACTACATTAATCATGAAATGATATTGAGTGAGCATTTCAGATCATATTTCAGGTGGTGGAGTAGATCTACATGCACAGATATTGGAAACCTTGATTGATCATCCCTAAACGTAATGCATCTCATATGGACGGCAAATCCTAACCAGTAAAATTCGGAGAAAATAAGACGGTCGAATAAATTATGGCCCGGTCCTCAATGGCTTCTCACATGGATGACCAAATACGTCACGCTTCCCTTCTCCATGAGGCCGACAAGGAGCCAACTCAAGTAGATTAATCTATGAGTTCCTACATGACACTTTCGACATGGTTGCCGATTACCTTTGTTTATGTATATGTATATATATATATATATATATATATATATATATATATATATATATATATGTGTATGATAGAGTGAGTCGGAAAGTGACTAATGTCGCTCGGTTCATCTGATGCTTTTGTCATCCACAGAATCTACGTAAAGAAATCATTTGTTCGTATCGAGTGTTGTCTCGTGCATCGAGGTCAAAATATTATTCTTCTTTGAGGCAATTCGTCTGCTTTGGTGATGATTGCTTGCTCATCACACAAAAGGAACGAAAAAAAGCACTGTTTTTATCGGCTTTTCTTGCGTTATATTTATCATTATTATTTATTCTTATCTTATCTCTTCTCGATCTGCCTCTTCTTTGTTTCATTCTTTTCTGGTGAAATAAATTCTTTCGTTCCGTCTTTTTTGGCCTCAACGTTCTGCTTATAACACATCAATCTCTTTGAGCTGAAACCTTTCCTGAAAAGAAGGAACTTTCATGCTCTTTGCAAAGCACAGTCAAACAAGGAAGCCATCAATTTCATCCACTAGTTTGGGACCATGCATGTAGCGACATATACTCTTCACGTTGCTGCTCATCAGCATCTCTTGTTCCTTTCCATGTCTCCATCTACAGATTCTGATGAGGACGACGGAGCATCAACCCAAGGGCGACTCTTGTCACCTTCTGATGATTCTGTGAGCAGCCAGTCAAGCTTGGGAGTTCAGAATCAGGTCTAAACAATTCACGCAGACAGCGATCAACCACTCCGCTGCGGACAACATTCATCGATCGGGCATATCGTTTTTGAGCCGTGCTGCCCAAGAGTAGCATGTGGAAAGTCATGCACTTTGACAAGTCTTCAAGCTTCTTCTTCCTCCTCCTCCTCCTCCTCCTCCTCCTCCTCCTCCACTGAACAACCAATAACGTTGTACTTTCTTGATGATTCTGAAACGTAGGAAGATGTTCCTCATGATGTATCTATCATATGATAACCAAACCATGGACCACCTCGAGGGAAAAAGCACCGAAACCCAGGATTCTAGCTGTTTCTGTGCTCGTCATTAGCGCCCTTAACCTAACTTTATGCGAAGCCACTTGTCATCACATGCCTCCTCCTCCTCGTCATCGCCATTAAAGTAATGCTTCTGCTGTACTTGTTGATGCTCATGCATGCCGGGGTTCCGTAAACCGACAACAGAAAGCACAACAGCAGTAACAACAAACGAGAAGATGCATGGGAAATGGAGGCAATTGGAAGACGGGAGTTCTCTAGGACCGCATGACCACCTAATGGAGGGTGGAAACCAAGTTAGAGCAGGACGGATGTATGGTAGAGCTGCTGAGTACTTTGTTCTGCTGACCGGTTTCATCATCTTTTGTGTCACACAAGTAATTGGATGAGCTGTTCTGATGAATCTAAATCTCCTCCGAGCAGGAAAAAATTAGGCTCTCAAACTGATGATTCCTGTGACCCTAACGTATATTACGATGCAAAAAATTTGACTCTAAGAGGATCAATGTACGCGGTATACTGCCATGCTTAAGTTGATTTCCGTGACTCATAGTAAAGAAACATGCAGAACCAGTTTTCTTTTGATTATTACCATAATATCTACCAGCAAAACGATGCTTTAATCGATGGTGATGGTCATGAAAATAATGGCCCATAACAAAGCCCACCGGACCGGATGACCATATATATATATATATATATATATATATATATATATATATATATATATATATATATATATATAGAG